TTAAAATCTTTGTTAATAAAGTTGATAAAATATATATTAAATTATATTTTTTATATAGTAATAATATTACTAAAATTTAATATTTAATATTTTATAAAGAAATTAACAATTATTTTTAATTTCACAAGCAAATTTGCCTGCTAGACAATCTAAGGGATAGTGTTATAAAACTCTTCTGGAACTGTCATGGAACTAGAGGGGAGCTAGAAATATTCTATTAGTTTGCCAGTTTTATGCTAGCTTGGATGCCAAGTTATTGCGCCTATAATTCTGGTAAAAAATACGGAATAGTGCTGGCTGAAATTATCTAAATTCTACTGCAAAAAATACTAAGTCTTTTCATCTGGATGTATACATGAACACATATAAGTCTTCTGCCATTTTTATATAATATAATTATGCAGAAGACTTCTTTTTCAGATACATATATCCGGATGCATACTAGTGATAGGGTATGTCCTTTCCAATTTTTTATATAATGATTATGAAGAAAACTTATTCTCTAGATATATATCCTGTTGCTTTTCTTTTTCGATTCATTTAATAAGTTCGCTATTGTCTCTTTTTACATCCCTTTTTAAATATATCTCTATATTACATAAAGGTTATACTATATACCTGAGTATATATCTAGAAAAGTGAAGTCTTCTCCTATTTTTATATATCTGTTTTCCTTTTATTTATAATTTGCTTACTAGATTGCTATATGTCTCTTTTTTCAAGAATGAAAAAATGCATCAGGAATATTTGAGGAATATTTGAGTGGCATTTGGGGTTTGGGTTAGTGGATTAGTTGGTTAGAGAATTAGAGGTGCTAACTTCGTATCTCTTTTAGTATACCTCTATATTATGCGAAGGCTAATACCATACCTGAATATACAATTCCCAGTGAAAAGAATGATGGTTTTAATACTATGTCTATTTTTAGGCACAGCTGAACTGTGTTTTCAATTTAGGCCATTGTTTATATGTCCAAATCAGACATTAGAACCCTAATTTAAAAGGTAAATAAAATAAACAAAGATTTATTATTATTATTGTTATTTTTTATCCTCGAAAAAAGTGCTGAGTTCCCTTGAAATATAATAAAACTCTGTTAAATCTCTCTGGGACCAAAATGTGCATAATGCAAAGGAAATTCTTAATCGCATGTGTATTCCTTTGCATACATGTGAACGATATGTCAGTTTGTTATGCAAAACTGGCAATCTTTCCATTGGTCACTCTCCAGACTGCTTAAGAAAATTGGCCGTGAACTAACGCCACCATATCAGAAAAATTTTAAAGCACAATCATTTCACTACAGTAAATGAAATGAAGGCCAAATTGAAAGAAAATAAATTTGATTTCGAGGTTGTGAACATATAATACGTCACAAGCTTCAAAATCTTGGATATATTTCTGTTCTTCCAAGGAAAGTCACTCTTTTGACCCAGAAAGTGAAGGATATTCACTTGTTTTGAACACATGACCATCTGCATTACAACTGGAAGAAAGTTATTTTTTCTGATGAAACAACACTCCAGATGGTTAGAAACACTATAAATGCATGGTCTCATAATGCACAACCAGTTAGGGTTGGTAAAGTCTGAGTCCTGGACTATCAGATCCTGATCCTGTATAAATGTCCTATTAAGATCCAGTCCCAAATTTGAGACTTATTCTGAAACTGGTTCAATAAATAAAGTAGTATTTTTTGATTAGTATTCAATTGCAGAAACTTCTTAATTAATTATAGTGTGAATTTTTAGCGTAAATTAAACATTTTATTTTTAAAAAAAAATATTTTTTTAAATTTTATTTAATGTAATCCCTTCCTCTGTGTGTGTCGAATATTAGCAAAAATTTGAGAATAATGCATTTTTGAATTAATACTTCAAATTCTAACGTAACAAATAATCTAAAAAAGTCCGATTCATAAATATTCATACTTCTTCATCTCCAAAATCATGTTTTGATTATGAATAGACATAAATCAACACTGACATGTAAATTATAATATTGTTGGTGTTTTTCTTTTAAAATTTCTTCTTTCTTAATTAAGTGTTTGTTAATCCAACTTTAACATATCAAAATGATGCATCTAGATTTTTATAATGATGGTTTCTTAATATATAGTTTAAAAAAAAAACATTATTTATTAATAACAAAAAAGTCAATAACAATAAGGAATTTAAAAAAAAATCATTCATTCAACATTACCCGATAAATTTCAATTCAATTAATCTTGTAGAACTAGCTGATCATATATAATATATATATGATATGTAATGCAAAAACTTTACGTGTTTATCTTTTGTATAAACTTTTATCTGAAATGAATATTGAAATGGATGGTTCTTTTAATTTTTACCTTTTGGATTTTAATAATAAGGAAGATTTTGAATATCATGATAATGAAGCAGATTTTGAATATCATGATAATGAAACAGATTTTGAATATCATGACAATGATAAGGATGAAGACCTTGACCCAAATAGAGTCCTTGAAGAGGAAAATGAAGAGGAAGAGGAAGATGCGTTGATAACTTTACCTTCACGTACTAAGAGAATATCTAAAGTATAGGAGTTTTTTAATGAAAGAACATTAGAACACCTGGGATCATCTGTTTGTAAAAAATGTGGTAGAAAGTTTAGTACAGATTATACATGAAGTTGAAATGAAAACCCAAAAGTCAAAATGGTCGAAATTACGTCATATCATATGATTTTTTATATATAGAAAAAACAAAAAAAAACAAAAGATG